ATAAAGGCTAGAAATAACAAGAGCTGGCAGGGATGTGGAGAAAAGGGAATGTTTCTGTACTGTTGGTGGGAATATAAATTGGTGCACTCACTATGGAAAGAAGTATGCAGTATCCTCAAAAAATTAAAAATGGAACTACCATATAATCCAACAATTCTGTTAGGTATTCATACAAAGAAAACAAAAATACTAACTTGAAAGATATATGCACCACCATGTTCACTGCAGCATTATTTACAATAACCAAGACATGAAAACAATCTACATGTTCATCAATGGATGAATGGATAAGAAAAGGTGGTATGTATATATATACAATGGAATATTATTTGGCCATAAAAAAAGAATGAAATCTTGCCATTTGTGACCACATGGATGGATCTTAAGGGCATTAAGCTAAATGAAAGAAGTCTGACAGAGAAAGACAAATACTATATGGTCTCTCTTATTATGAGAAATCTATAAATCTATCTATATATATATATAAAACATATTGGTGATGGAGAGTAGAAGAAATGGATGAACTGTTTGTATTTTTGTTTAAAGAAACTGAATTAAAAAAATAACACTGATGAATGACAAAGTTAATATACTAAAAAGTACTTCAAAGCAGAAGTATAGATTTATTCATGACAATGATGAGGGTTGTTTTTATCTAAATAAAAAGTAGGTTCAAGGAAGTACTCAATTTTAATTCAATGAAATAAAAAAATCATTGAACTGGATCTTTTTAATAACAGATGTAATTTTAAGTTCTAAATAATACAGAACATGCTACTCATGAATGGATATTTTATTGATAGCAGATCTAAATCTATAAGGTGCTAAAACATTATACAATTGAACAACACAAATAAGTCGATTAGAGAATAGTCTCAACCAACTTACATCACTCTATAGGAATATAGAAGACATGAATTTTTCAAGAATTATTTGAAGACCAAGAATTATTAGAAAGGCTGTTGCACCAACCAGTGCAACAATTTTACTTCCAATTCTGATGAGCCATTAGTTATTTCCAGATAAACCTTTTGCCAAAGAGAGGAGAGTCTATTCCCTTTGTGCAGAAGACTTAAAGGAGGCAAATAAAAAATACACATGTGAAGAAAATGTGTTTATAAATAAATAGAAATAAGTTAGAAGAGTTGTTTATGCAGAATCATGGAACACAGAAGCAATGGGTTCTGTAGAAAGGACCAAAAGGTATAAAATCGCCACTGTCATGGAGTTGACATTTTAGAGGTTGTGGTAGTGAAAAGACAAACAAATAATAAGTGAATTGCACATTTCATATTTAAATATGAAAAGTTACAGGGAAAAAAATTAAGGAAGAAATGATAGAGGGTAGAGGTAGAGAGTAAGGAAGGTGGGAGGAGGGAGTGATTGCTATATTACACGGGATGGTTGGGGAAAGCCCCAGTTGAAAAATGACATTTTGGGCAAAGACTTTAAGAGATAGAGGAAGCCATGTAGGCATCTGGGGAAACAGTGTTCTAGTTAGAAGACAGCAAGAGCAGAGGGTCTGAGGCAGGGATGTGCTTATCCCATTTGGGGAAAAGTAAAAGTCAGGGTCAGTAAGGTCAGTTGGAACATTCCAAGTGAGTCAATGGAACAATTCACTGATAAACTTTGTCAACCTTAAAAATAGCCAGTTATTTAAGAAGAAAAGTGAGTTTGGGAATAACTTGGATAAATTCCAGAGGACTTGCAATTTAGGACTTGCAAACTATGGTGAACCATAGGCAAGTCGGAAGAACAAAGGAGAGCGTCCTTATATAGAGGGAAGGAGGAAGCTGGGGGGTCCTGTCCAAGGGAAGTTCACTGGTGGAGTGTGCAAGCCCAGGGTTTTGGTGGATTTTTATTGGTTGGGTTGTTCCTGGGAAGGAGACATCATCCTTCTCCTTGCTGGGGTAGTAAAGTAAGCTCTGAAGAGTGGTGCCTGAGTGAGACCCTTCCCTTCATTGTTTCAAGACTCCACTGGAATTAGGTTTCTTGCACTCATATTCACAATTTCTCTCAGGTGATTGATGTCACTAAGAGACTGTGTAAAAGTACCCTAGCATCATTGTAGTGAAGTATAAACATTTTCTGGTGCCCCATCTTGAAACTTCTGTTTCCAGGGTTAAAATGTTTTGCAAATATAAACCAATGACTCAGACTTAATAATGTCGCCTCCTGGGAAATTTATGATCTTTTAAGATTTTATACATGCATTGTATAATATGATACAGAATATACTAATATTCTAATAGGTGTAATGCAGCAAAACAAAATACTGCAGACTTTATTACATGACTTGAAAATACTAGGATGCTTCATGAAAACTTGTTTAGGTATAAATGAGCAGTTAAAATATTTATGCACACTTTGACTTAGTCTATTGATTCATTCCAAAATTAGTCACCATGCAGTACTATTTTCATATGTGTACCCATATACACTTAATGATTGTAACATATAAGAATGAGGTGGTGTTCATTATTCCTAATAATAGGGATAATGCTTTTAAGTGTTAATAAAGAGTAATATTGCTTTCTTAAAAAAAATTGTACTCTGTAGAGTTCTAGCTATTCTGCTTTAGAGGGTGTAGCTTTTGCATGAATTTTGTTTTATTAAGGAGTAGAATAAAATAAGGGTATATCTCTTTAAATATTCTAATGAAATGATTCATGTACTCATTCAATCTATTACTATAATACTCAAATATCAATAACATAGTTGCTTCATCAGGGATTTCCTAGAGCCAGGTATAGAGCCTAGAGAAAGAAATTAGGACATGCCACCCCAAAATATGTATCTTTGAGGACCAGAGGAATATGCAAACAAAACTCACTCTTAGTTTCTTCCCTTATGTTTACCTTCCCACAGGTGCAGCCCTTGAAAGCCTAAAACTGCTTTCCTTTGTCCTTTCATTTCATTACAAATGTTCTTTGCTCAAGATGCTATCTAGACAGTAGTTCTAAACTGCCACTTTGAGTCACTCCTCGTTTTATGTTTCTACTGTGTTGTGCTCCTCATGCATGTGTTAATAAACTGTTTTTCTTTTGTTAGTGTTGTCTTGTTAAATAGTCCCAGCTGAAATCCTCCCACTAGTGTTCACTGCAGGATGCAGACAAAAGGTTGCCCCTTGGTTGGCCATTACCCTGGGGCAGGCCATCCCGAGGATTCTGCCCCCTACACTGAATTCTGAACATCAAAATTCGGCTACCCTATGCACTTTATTCTCTAATATACTGAACGCTGGGATTCTCAAATCAGAACCCTAGGTCAGAGGTCTTACCTTCATACAGAAATCACCAAAAACCAGGCATGCTGAGATTGTCAACTAAAAAAAATCAGAACTTACTTTACATAGCCTTAATGTGCTTTTTAGGTGAATAAATACAGGATCGTTTACATAATATTACGCACCATCACACAGCTACTTTTTACTTTCTATTTATGTTTTTTCCTCATGAAAATAAAATACTGAAAATGCTATTATGTGCTATTAGGCATTTCCTGAATTTTCTGTACTTGAAATCTTGGTGACATTAAATCAGAATACAATCATATTTTAATGATTAGACTTCATTGTACATTAAGCTTAGGAGAGAAAAATTTGATTAGTTTTCTCATCTGTGTCATAAACTACAGGTTTGTAATCCTTAGTTTGTGAATCACACTCATTCTTAACATTACCAATCATGTGCAGAGTGACTGTACAACTGCAGTTCTTTGTGAGGAAAATTAAGTTTTTTCCTGTTTGTTTTCATACATGTGTTTCTTTTTTTTCAATAAAGCCAAACCTTACAAATGAGTAAAAGGACTGAAAAGTTTGATATTGTGGCTCAGATTTATGAGGGAAAAAAGGTTCTTCTCAGTATTCATGGAAATGCACATACAAAATGACTCCTCCAGCTACTACTCATGCTACTATTGTTCAAGATGACCAGGGCTCTTTTCAACAGAGAAGTAAACATGGGGAAGAGAGATGGGAACCTCACCGGCACTGGCAGGATCTTGCAGTCCCTTTGTAGTGAGGGCTTTGGGGAAGAGCCCACATACTCTTTTTTGGACTACTCCCTCTATTTACATTAGCTTTCCTATCTGTAGATATATCACAGAAACAGGAATAGACAGGTAGCATTTCTAAATTTACGTATGGAAAAGACCATTATAAAAATGTTCTGTTGTACTGACATCTTCATTTTGTCTTCAGCATCTTGTTTGGTTCCCAAACCTGTTATTTTTTTGTCTCAGATAAAGCACTCTAATTGTAACATGCCTCAGTTAATTGAAGAGAGTGAGTTTTGTAAGGTACATACACCTCCTTCTCAGATGTTGTAAAGTTAATTATTTATGGATTATAGAGTTCATAGTGGAAAGTGTTATTTAAATGCAAGGAAGGTTTTTAAATAGCTCTGTGATGCCAAAAAAATGTCATCAAAACAACTGATTCTAGATAAATTGAAGACAAGGTCTGAGAAATGTCTGGATATGAAGTATGGCCAAAACCTAACTACTGTAACAAATTTTTCTGATAGGGAAATAGTAACGTTATTAGAAACAAATAAAACACTATGGATGTATCTAGTGTATAGATACATAAAATTAACATAATCCCGAACATTAGGTAGAGATGCATAGGGCAGAAACTAGCGATCCTATTTAACTGCAAAGGGTATTAGGGCACAGAAAGCTTTAGGGTTTGTTGTGTCACATACTCCTTTTGGTATCATGACTGCTTTGCCATTCCTTGAAACTTCAGATACAAATAACAATACCATAATTCCAGCAATGCAAGAACATTTCTTCTGACCTTTTATTTTCCCCGAACAAGACACCAAAGCGCTTAAAGCTTGCGTCCTTTTTCATTTTTCAGGGAGAATTCGTTAAACGTCCTGGGTTTTAGAACTCTTCGGAAATTATATACACGACAAACCTTCCTTGGGTCTTAACACGTTATTTACACCCTGCCACCCATTCCCGCGGGCACGACCAGCACCGGAACTGGGCAGAGCTTCGAAGGGCCCCACAGGCAGGGGGCGGAGCTCTGGTCTGGCGCAGACACCCCCGGGGCCGCCTCGGAGACCCCGACTCCTTTCCTGCCCCCACCCTCACTCTGGGCCCCACCCTCTCCGTTTGGCACCCTCGCCCCGCCCCGCGGCCCCTCGGGCGGGCGTGAGGCGCTGGCAAGGCCGCCGAGGAGCCGGGGGACCCGGGCTGGCTCCCCGCGTGAGTGCCTGGGGCGTTCCGGGAACCAGGCCGGGACGCGCACCACACAGAGACGGGCGCGGGCGGCCGGGCCCCGACGCCCGGAGGAGAGCGGAGCCCAGCGCACGGGAGGGGCGGCCCCCGGCACCTCCCCTCAGGCCCTCGCTCGGCCCCCTGTTCCCCGCGCGCCGGCTTGGCGGCTCTGCGGCCGTGACTCAGCGCTTCCCGCGGGCCACCCGGCACGGGCCTGCCCCCGCCGCGCCCGCCCCCGGTCCCGGGCCCTTTCCCAGCTCGGCCGCGGCAGGCAGCGCCGGCGCCTCCGCAGCGCCCGCCAGCTCCGGCTCGGCCCCGCCGCCCGCCATGGAGCCCGCCACGGAGCCCAGGGCCCCCCGCCGCCGCCACATTCCCCGGCGCGGCTACGGCCTGACGCGGAGCCCGCATCTCAACAAGGTGAGCCCGCAGCCCCTTCAGCCGGGCCCGCGCCGCCGGCCTCTCCGGCGATGGCGCCCCGGAGCGGGAGCGCCGGCGCGAGCCGGAGGAGGGGCCGCTCGCCGAGCTGTGGTCCTCGCGCGGGGGCGGAGGAAGGCGGCGCCGGGGCCCCCCCGCAGCCGGCCCCCGCGTCTGGGAAGGAGGAGGGGTAACGGGTTTCTGACACTGGCTGGGCCCCCTTCTCCGAGGGCAAAAGCCGAGCTGAGGAGCGTGGTCTCAGGCTAAGAGCGTGAAGTGAGCGTTTGCGCGAACGTAGCAGGTGGGATGCGCCCTCCGCCTCGTCGCCCCCCCACCCCCTCCCGTTTAGTGTTCCCACGCAGTGAGGAGATTGCTGGAGGCCGCCGTGGAGAGCAGGGTTCCCACCGGTCCGCCTGGACACAAATGTGCCGGGAGCCTCGGGTCGCACTGACAACCGGGAGGTCCAGGCCCCGCGGGCTCTGGAGTGACCCCGAGGCCGAGCATGCGCGGAGGCTGGCCCTGGACGTTTGCACGGCTAGATACGAAGCCCCTGTCCTGAACGCTGTGGGTAGAGGCGTTCCTTTTTTTGTATCTGGCTTTCTGAAAACAAAGTAGTTGTTTTTTAAGCTTCTCTTTTTTATCATAAGGGGAATTCAGTGTACACTGTGTTCAAAGACCCCGTTTCAGATCCTGGCAACTTTTTTCTTCTTCACTGGTGATCTAGTATAAACACCTGGATTTCTCTCAAATGAAAAACACTTCCGAAGTTATAGTTTTGCCCATCTAGATACTAAGCAGTCGCACTTAGGTTGATAAGCTCTGAATTGTTATTTTTTTGCGTGTGTGCTTCTGACAATTCCTTTTTATTTAGTACGTGGGAAATGCCATCAGCCAACACAGGTTTGTTTAGCTATTTTGGTTGTCTCTTCAGTGGACACCTATTTTCATTAGAAATGGGCATCATTTCTTTTTCTTCCTGGTCGTATTGCTGGTGATTTGTTGATCATTACTAATGGTTTAAAAGGCTTGTGATTTCTTTTATTTAATAAGTTAGAGCTAGTGTGAGTTTTTCTTGACTTCTGTGATGACAGGTAACTTGTACAAATCCAAGATTATTTAGTATTTGTGGTCATAAAGCATTATAAAATTTTTAAATAGTTACTATGACTTTCTTTAAAATGAATTTAGTTGCTAAATTTTCTTCCTTTTTATTCTGCAGGTTGGGGCTTATTTTTGGTAGGACAAAGGTAAAATTTGGTGTGGCGAAACAGTTTGTGACTTTCATCTGTACCTGCTTGCAGTAATTTATGACCAGATAATGGGTTGCCATTTAAGGAGGGCCACATGAGTGGTATAACCTGTTTGAATTTCCTCTGTTTCTAGTGGATAGAGTAGGCAATCCCTGAGCAAGAGTAATTACACCTTTACTGTTTACTTCAAAAATTTATAATATTAAAATCATTTCAACTCCTGTTCACCATAAGGATTAAGTGTACTTAAGAATAATAGCATTGTGAGATCTTCCACCAGTGGTAGAAAGGTGAAGCATAATGTATGAAGAACCTGTTTTTGGGTTTATAACTATACTTTATTACTCATTGTGTCAAAATTGTATTTAAAATCTAGTTCATTAACTTTGTGGTGATTAATAGAATACACTTTACTCTTCTTACTCAGTTCTAAGATGTGTGGTACCTCTTAAAAGTAGCATAATATCCTCAAATGTACCTTTGAAACCATACCTGTGGGACTTTATCTGCCCTGCACTGAACACTTTTGGGCCTTTAAGTTTTCTAGTAGCCTAGGGATTTTTATTCATTTTTGTGATAACCTTGGCTCCAGAGACCACTAACAGATGCTTGCCCTCCTTTAACATTATGTCCGGTCACCTGGCTACGTGAAGCCTTCTTCAGCCACATTCACACAGACCTTCATCGCCTCACCTTTTGGGTACCTGCTACAGTTTTGCTGGTTTTATTTTCAGTATTATAATCTTCCCGACATGTAGGTATGAGAGAATATCTTCATCAAGTAGCATTTTCCTTACTTTACTCTAATGTTATCCAAATATTTGTATGTTTTTACTTTTATGTTGAATGTAAAATTAATCTGTCAATTAGATTTATTCTCATCTCCAAATTTATCTTATTAGTTTCCCGACTTAGCCTTCCACTTAAAATATGTTTGCTGACTCTCTTACTTAATACTGTTTGTCAGTGTGTAATTCTTACAATTAAAATGTCATTAGTTGATTTAATAATGATCTCTTTAGGGAAGACATTCCGAATATCTTAGTCCTATTGTCATTACCAAATATCTCTGTTTTTATTCAGTTGTATCATGTCATTTTGTATTTACTGTATTATTTTTTTCTTATTTTGGTTGTCACAGGGCAGGAATCCTAGTACAGAATTTTGTACAGTGGACATTAAATAAATATTTATTTCATTATTGAATGAGCCATGATTTCTATTTCTTTTTATCTTCCAGACAGTATTCAGCTTTTAAAGCCAGTAGATTTTAAAATGGTGTTTTGGGCATTATTCTGAGACATTTACTGTCTTTAATGTAATTTATTGAAAATTAAGTCCCACTGAAGTCTAAAGCTCAGTATATTCTGTTGTACCATTGTATTATATAATAGAATATAGTTAGAAAAGGTAAAATATGGTTGATGCCTGACCATCCCATGAAATTGAATACTTGATGGATAACCTTAAGGATGTGCTTAATCTTTGTAAAAGCAAGATTAACTGTAGATGTGATCTGAATTAAAAAGTAAAAAAATAAAAAAGCTTATTTTCTTCATTAGTAATAATTAATGTATGATTTTTTACTATGTGCTTATATTGAAATATACATCATTCCAGGTAGGATTTCATCATAGCATTTGTATGTATGAGATTCAATATGTTTTCTGTTCCTAGCCCAAAGTATTTTTGAGGTGTTTGTCTTTGCCTGTGTTATATTATTATATGTGCTTCTCTACTATATGATTTTCAAGGATACCTTCTGATTTAGATGAGTTGTTTCAAATTTTTTCTCAGTAATTTTCATGTGCTTAAAAGTGTCTCATAAATCATTCTTTATAATTAAAATTCTACACATAAAAATAATCACACTTATTTTTTATTTCTCATTATATTAGTTTGCTGTATGCAGTGGTAGAAAACACAAATTAGTAGTTGTATCATAATTAACTTGTACTTACATAGTTTCCATATCTTTAAGATTAAAAAGTAACATGTACAAGTAAATCTCCAGAAAACGCCACTGTTCAATAGTTTAGGCGTTTTAATGCAGCTTAAGTTAGTGGTAGTGTTTTTATCAAAGTCAGTTTGGGGTTAGCATTATTAACTTTCAAATTTAAAAAATGAGTTTCTGGGCAAGTGTTTTTGTAGATATTTGTGTCCTGGTAGATCAAGGTCTAGTGGATGGGTTTTAGGGAACATAGAAACAAATCTAATGACTATGAAGAAAAGTTACCTTAAATTTCCTCTCTTCTTTTCATGTAAACTATAGCAGAAGGAATTGCTCAAAAATTTTCACCTGCCACCGTTCTTTGGTGTTGCCCCAGCAATTTGAGAATCTGATATATTGTTTAACACGGAATGCCACTGATGTGAAAGCCATTGTAGGGAAGATGCACAGCCATATGCCTCCATCCCTGTCTATTATCGTGCTGCACTTGAAACAAGTGATAGTAAGGGAAAGCACAAATACAAAATAATGTTGTGACCTAGGGAGAAGAATGATGAGTTTGATTTGCAAACAAACTCTTGAGATGGGTAATATTGAGTACAGGAAGTATTAAAGGAAGGAATAAGTTTGAGATTTTTCATTTTCGGATTCTGATTTTCTTCTAACTTTTGGGCAAGTGGGAGGAATGAATGTAATAGAATAAACATTATAAGAGTTTGTATCTACATGAAATGCCCAGGGCCTACTTCTTCCAATAAGCAGTTGTGAGATTTTGAGTGTGATTTTTCTTAACTAGCTTCAGTTACTGTCCTTGTAAAATAGAATCATAATTTCATTCATTTATCTTTTTTTAATGTAACAAATATTTGTTCAGAACACAGTATATGCTAGGTAATATTCTGGGTGCTATAGTTTACAATGAATAAGATACCTCCTGAGAGTACACTTACATTTCAATTTCATTCTTTCTTGTATCTTCACTCAGAATTGAAAAGATTGAGAATAGTGTATATTAATTTTTTTCTAAATTATACATTATAAAACCAGATTTTTTATTACTGCAACTAATTAATAATAGTACTTTTACATAGAGAGTATGAACTCATAAGTGGAGCAATTATACTTTCTTTTTTTAGTGTACTTATTCCTTCTCTTTTGAATTTTTGATGTGATTGTTACCTCTTTGTGAATTTTATGGTAAAAAATATATCTTTTCTCTGAGAGAGATTGCTTTACATTTCGCACTCAGACTCATATAAGTGAGCTTGATTGATATCACATGACCTTTGCAATCTTTCTTACATTTTCACAGAATGCCAGGTATAGGTTAAACAATGTTTTTGTGAAGAAAAGGGATAAGGAAAGCTTTTTGCTTCTCAGTACTCTGCTCCAAGTGTGTAAAGATTTGGAAGTATGAGAGAATGTGGCTTGTTAAAGGTAGAAGTATGTTTTGGGTAGTTAAAATTATTGGGGTAAGAGGGAATGAATAATAAAGACTTGAAATTTAAAATGTCCAGTGATGTGAAACCAGTATTTACTCTGTTTGACTTTGGAAATCATCAGTTACTCTGTCAAAATAAACATTTTTGAAATGAAGCAGGTCCAGTGGTTTTCAAAATTGACATGACCAAATACTGTTTGTAGACTCAAGATTGCCTGATTTGGGCTATTCATTACTTCATTGTTTATTTTGAGCCAACTCAGCAAACTTTGTTGATAGTATATGGATCCAGAACTGATCATCAAATAAGTTATAATTCAGTAGAACTAATTTGAGAATGTTTCTAACTAAATAAATGCTT